ATGCAGCAAAATGCCGCATACAAAACTCTTCACCCCCCACCCTCCTTCCCCCCGCAGGAGTGCCAGCCAACGCGATCCTGGAGATGTTTGGGAAGATGTTTTTCCAGTTCTGCCAAGAGTCGGGATACGACACCATCCTGCAGGTTCTCGGGGCCACCGTCAGCGGGTTCTTGCAGGTCAGATGTTTAAGTTCATTAGGTGTTCGTGTTATTAATGGTATTGTTGTTTATGTCGTTATTATTAGTAGTAGCGATGACAATATTGTTAATGTTATTATTATTATTATCATTATTATCTTCTTTATTGGTAGTAATGATAGTGGTATTGTTATTGTTAGAATAATAATAATAATTATTATTATTATTTTTATTATTATTACTATTGTTGTTATTATTATTGTTGTCATCATTATTATTATTATTATCATCATTATTATTATTATTACTATAATTGTTATTATTATTTTGTCGTTATTGTTATTATTATTTTGTCGTTATTGTTATTATTATTATTATCATTATCATGGACGTCATCATCAGCAGCAGCTGTCATCGTCTTCATCGTCATCGTCGTCATTTTCATCGTCATCATCAGCAGCAGCATTGCAACGGTCTTAATCATCGCCATCATTACCACCATCAGCATTATTACAATTACTGATATTATATTGTATTACCTGTGGTTTGTGTGTTTCTAGAGAGAGAGAGAGACATTCGACAGACAGACAGAAATAGAAAAAGCGAGGAAGATGGTGGAAGGGAGCGTGTGTATGCCTCAGTGTATCTGTATGTATCTGTGTGTGTGTTTGTAAAACGCTTCCCGAATGCCATTTTGGCTCCCATAAATCGAACATTCCAGCCGAGCATCAAAAGAAAGAGGGTGAGGGACCAGGAGTGATAAACGGAAGACATACGAACGACAGAGCAAACAAAGGCATCGGAAAAGGGAGCTTCGGGTAAAGTTACAGATCTGGGATGCAGGCGATACAGAGGGAGAGGGAGAAAGAGAGGGAGAGGGAGAAAGGGAAGGAGAGAGTGAAAGAGAGAGTGAAAGAGAGAGAGAGAGTAAGAGATGAGGGGGAGGGGGAGAAAAAGAGACGGGGCAGGGGAGACAGAGGGAGAGAGAGAGAAAGGGAGAGAAGTAGAGGGAGAGAAGGAGAGAGAGAGGGGGGGGGGAGAAGGAGAGGGAGAGAAAGAGAGAGGGAGAGAGTGGGGAAAGAGAGAGGGAGACAGTGGGGAAAGAGAGAGAGGGGGGAGATGGGAAGTGAGAGAAAGAGTGAGAGATAGAGTAAGAGTGTGAGAGAGAGAAAGAAAAGGGAGAAAGATTGACAGAGAAAAAGAGAAAGAAAGAAAAAGAAACTATAGCCAACAAACAGAAAAAAAATCCCCACCCACTATCCACCTCTACCCTTCCCCCTTCCCCCATCTTCCTTCCCTCCCTCCCTCCCTCTTCCTCCCATCCTCTTTTCCTCCTTCCCCCCTCCCTCCCTCCCTCCTCCTCCCTCCTCCCTCCCTCCCTCCTCCTCCCATCCCCCTTCCCTCCCTCCCTCCTCCTCCCTCCCTCCCTCCCTCCCTCCCTCCCATCCTCTTTTCCTCCTCCCTCCCTCCCTCCTCCCCCTCTTCCCATCCCTCCCTCCTTCCCATCCCTCTTCCCTCCCTCCCTCCCTCCCTCCCATTCCTCCCTCCCCCTTCAACATACGAACAACCCCCTCACGTTCTCTTTCTCTCCCCTCCCCTCCCCCCTCTCACCCCCCCTCTCCCTCTCTCTAACAGAACCTGGACGCCTTGCACGATCACTTGCAACTCATCTACCCGGGCATGAAAGCACCCAGTTTCCGATGCACGCAGAGGGACGAAGACGGCGCACTCGTCCTCCACTACTACTCGGATCGGCCGGGACTCGAGTACATCGTCATCGGCATCGTCAAGGTAAGGAGGCAGGAGGGGGGAGGGAGGGAGGGAGGGAGGGGGGAGGGATGGGGGAAAGAAGGTGGAGGGAGGGAGGAGGGTGGGATGGGGGAGGGAAGGACGTTGAAGTGTGGGGGTGGGAAGGAGCGAGGAGGACGGGGGAGGGTGGAGGGAAGAGGAGGGTGGAAGGGGGAAGGAGAGAGGAAGAAGGAGGGAGGAGGGTGGGAGGGAGAGGAAGGAGGGAGGAGGGTGGGGTGGGGGAGGGAGGGAGGAGGACGGGGGAGGGTGGAGGGAAGAGGAGGGTGGGAGGGGGAAGGAGAGAGGAAAAAGGAGGGAGGGAGGAGGGTGGGAGGGAGAGGGAGGAGGATAGGGTGGGAGAGGGAGGGAGGAGGGTGGGGAAGGGTGAGAGGAGGAAGGAGGGAGGTGAAGGGTGGAGGGAGGAGGGTAGGAAGAGGAAGGAGAGTGGGAGGCCGGGGAAGAGTGGGGGTGGGTGGGAAGAGGAGTAGGGTGTGTAGAAGGATGGGCGGGGTGGGGGGGGGTAGGAAGGGGGATTGAATAGAGGGAGGGGAGGAGGGGAGGATGAAAGGGAGCAA